AAGTTCAAAGTCACCTAAAACTATGAGATTTTGAATAGTTAATCTGTATTCATTATGGACTCTTGGCACACGTGACAAGGAAAAACCGTCATTACAACTTATCAACAATTGTCATATAAATTGTCTGATCCTTCCTCATCAATCCTTCTCCCTTTCCACCACCTAGACCTCTTATGGAAAACACGTCTTCAGTTGAAAGCACTGGGATGCATTTATCAGTATACTGTAAAAAAATCATCTGTTTTCAAGTAAAATCAGATGTTCTTTTCTGGGGGCTGGGACTGCAGTATGCTCACCTAACCAAACAAAAATCTCACCTTGCTTCAAGCTACTATGGTACATATGAAGAGCGGAATTCTCTAATTTTATACAATCGTTTGAAGAAGGGTTGAATGTCTGAGCATATCAGCGATTCAATTGACTCAACATTGGAATGCATCACCCATCAAAACATGCTACAACTTGTAGATTTAATGCTATTTTCAAAACAAGAAACAGCAACAGTTCTTTTTTTGGTTTTTGTTTAAAAGTTCTCTCTCACAAAGTGCATCAGGTGTGTGTGAATGACTCCATGCTGAGCTTTATACCACTCGTCAAGATGTCATAATATGTAGCTGAGTTTGTTATATGGTTCAGTAACAAACAGTGCTAGCACTAATTCTTTCCCTTCCTCTCTGGGCGAACCTCCTGACCTTCACCATGTGCCGTACTGTAGCCTGGTGCCACGCAGCAATCAGGGGAGATGTCTGAGTCCAACTGGGTTTGCATAATCCCCCATTACATGGATGACTTCCACAGGCTCACTACTTGTCAGACCAATTAATCTGTTCTTTATTTAACTGTTAAACGCAATTCTGAGGATAACTTTATTACTGGGAATATTCACATTGTTCACTGTCATTTCTCTGACAGAAATCAGGGCAAATGTGGCATTTTCAGACAAAATGCTACTTTTTTGTAATCACATCATTTTTTTTTAAAAAAGGGTCAGATATGAATAATAAATATAGTGAATCAACAGATGGATGTTGTATTCCAGTGCAATACAGGGGTTAGCTATACAGGATAGAGGACTTCCCATCAATGCAGAAGTCTGCTTCCTCAGGCTGTGGCATTTCAAAGATTTTATCCTTGCTGTTCTAATAACAAAATTAATTCCCAGCCAATTTATCTGAAAGGAGATTAGTGAACATATAGATCTGCTGTTGAACACATTTCCCAAATCAATTTAATCTGCTGTGCCATGTCTGAATCACTGCCACGCAGTTCTGAGGCATATCAAATATAGAAAAATACACATCCACACATAGAACTATCTACCTACAAGACTCACCTCATCTGTAGGGTAAGATGGTATTTATTTATTTATCTTCTATTCATTTTAGTTCCTGCTTTTTTACTGACACAGCTGGAATCCAATCTACAGCAAAAATATAGGCAAGCGAGCCAGTGAGTACAATATGGAAAAGCTAAGGTGAGGCCAAGCGTCCCTCCTCAGTTCTCTGAATAATTATAATAATAATAATACCCAGTGGGAAACCAAGTTTTAGTAGCAATCTCCATATTACTTGATGCACCTTCCACTATATGTATTCTTTTGACCCTTAGTAAAAACAGTCCCATCAAGTTTTATTAACAAAGACAGTCTGCATTATTTTCTTATTAACCACTGTGGATATGGATGCATTCCTAGCCTCCTCTGCCCATATGCCACGAATATTATATTTGAGGTTTTATTATTAATGAAACATATATATATCTTAAATTAAGTTTATTGGAGCAACAGTGCAAGTACCCTCAGTTAATCGTGGTGTAAGGAGAAATGCAATTATTAATGAGAAACCCTGGAATTTCAAGACCACTTGAGTCTATACGGAAATTCCTACATAAGATAAAGGAAATGAAAGTTATATGACATTTTTTTTTACTGATATCCAGGAACTCTTTATTCATTCACTAGGTAGAATTTCTATTTCAGTGCCGGACTTGTGGCAGCACATTGTAGGCCCAGTGAAGCACATGTAACTTTTGTCATCTGATCCAAAATCTTCCATCTGTTCCAGGCCTCAGAGCTACTGTTGGCATTTTCCCTCAGATTTCCCCTGCTTCGCTGTGAAACCAAGTAGCAAAAGCTACTGCCTTCACCTCGCTTTTTCATTCAATTCAAACTATTTTTAGTCTTCAGAAATTTTAGACTTTTCACCTTTTTATTCAGTATCAGCAGTATAGATCTAGCTCTGCTAATAGTCTGCTTGTAGTTTCTTTTTTCTTAATTACAATAATCCAGGCAGTTAAATCAACTTAGTCTCAAGCACTCCAATAAGTATCCTTAGCATATTTTATCTCAGATGTCCATTATTAGCACATCATATCCACTCAACAATTAATCAGTCAATAGTTTTATTAAGTGATATGTTGATTTAACAAGCACCTCAAATATTGAATTTGTGATTAAGGTACAAGTGATAGCTGCAAATGGCTGTGTACTTTAACCGCCAAATCACAGCATATCCCGTCCAGTGGAAATAAAAACCACCTCCGCTTGGCTTTCCACACTGCTGACCAAGTTACACTACCAACATGTAACATGATCAGGATTATGAATACATCTATATCTGTTCTAATGCATCACAAAACAAGTTTGATAAATTTCCCCTACAATGTGCCAAGAAAGCTAATCTGCATAGATACGCAAAGCAGGTAGAGGCAAGTTCATTTCAAAATGTCTCCCAACGTTTTAAATCACAATAGCCTGCAGAAAGCGTCTTTACACCTCTCTGGGTCTATTGTTGCAACATTCAAAGGTGGAGCAAGCTGTATTGCTGCTCTCACCTTCTCAAACTGGTAGGATGAAAGTAATAATTGACCCTTAGAAAACATGAGGGTCTCGACTGAACCACGGCTTACTGGAGCACCCAGGCTTCCATACAATACTGGTGGGGGCTATGGATGAAATGGATAGTGCCCAATAGTTGAAAGCTGGGGTTTTATGTCAACACTGAACACGTTTACTCAGCCATACACAAGCTAGACCGAACCAGTCAACCATTCTCTGCTCCCTCTGTAAAAATATCAATCCCGTTTACAATCCAAACAAGTCTACAATAGGCAAGGACTGTAGAAATATTTAGACTTGCAGTTCCAAACATGCAGTATTATCGGTCATATTTATGTAACTACAAGAAATCTGTTAATCCCACAGATTTGGGGGCTTATCCATTGAAGTAATTTCTCTTATTTGCTAAGATTTAATACCTGGCTGCTTAATGAATTGTTACTTAAAATATAGAGTTAAATTCCTCTGGATACAACATGGAAAACCATTCCACCCCTTTGTAAAATACAATTTAAAAAAATATCATAAGAGAATTGAATTTATTAATTTTCTGGAGGTAGTTTCTCTTCCTATTCCACATGCAATGTTTCCTGACCACAATATACCAGCACATATCTACCCAAAGCCTTTCCAATTGATTATCAGATGATTTTCTTTAATTTCCCTTGGTGCCCCTGATAATCTTTCCCTGTCATGCTACAGCATATGCTATAATTCTCCACACCCTCTGACTGAGTCCTGATTAATAATTCAACTGTGAAATCTAAATACATCATAATTAAAAGACAAGACTTAAGACAGGTAGCCAGTACCAAATTGGTGATCAGAAAAACTCAGGAAGGCAGAAGTAACCCTATTACAGCAATCAACTGTCTTCATTAATATGATATTCAGCTCTGGTTTTATATTGGAATGCTTCCTTTTTCTTTATATTGTGGCTAGAGACTTTAACAGGTGCCCCGTCAAGAGCTGTCAAAACCCTGAGGTGGCTTTGAGGTGGCTTTGAACGGAGCTGAAAAGGATCATTGAGTCTGACCTCTAGCAAGAGATGTCTTGTCCCCAGCTACCTACTTCTCTCTGTACTCTCATTGATTGATTGGAGGACTTCAGGGAAAATTAGAATGATAATCAAGGCAACTGCAGAAAATTCAATTACAAAATTCAGTCGGCACAAAAGTTACCGTCCAGATTTCCTGTGGAGTTCTTTCCCCAGTGTAGCCACTAGTTTGACTCAAGTACTTGTCAGAGAAGGCACAACTGTTGAAACCAGCATGATGTTTGCTTTTAATCAATTTTATATGAATTTTTTTCCAACAAAGAAGGTCACTACATGAAGAGACAGCAAAAATAAAAATGTACTTCTCTTAATCTTGACATGAATCTTACATGTCATCCTTTGGAATTTTGAAAATCAGACCATGCCAAACATATGTAGGTGGGGTAGCGGTGTCATTAGAAAGACGATCTGATGAAACCAAAGCTTATTATTCTTAGAACACCTTGACAAGATGGATCAATACTTTCGCCTTGTATGAGAAGCAAGATCAAGATAGCCAAAGATGGGTGCTGTTGGTGTGCTACATGGGCCTATTGAAACTGATACAATGTTGTACATATTGAAACAATGTTCTAATCACAACCTTTGAACTGCTTTATCTTATCATAGAAGGTTAGCATTCTTACATACATCATGTCTTAGATATAGAATAACAGAAGAGGTCACAATCCCAGCCTTATCTAGCTTATCACTTCCTGAGACAATCTAAATCGTAAAGTTTCACACTAGACCAAGGGGCGAGTACTTGGACAATTCAAACGGGACATTCTTCAAATTAAACAATGGGGTCGTCATCAGCGGTAATGATAAGGCAAGTACAGAGGTCTAATTCCTTCAGTATTGAGACGGTAGGAAACCTAATCCCGTATATTGCACATAACAATAGCCAAGCGGTGCGTGTCTCCGTCACGTCAAAGTCAGCGCCGCCGGCCAAACTGCACGCTGCGACAGGGTATTATTTTGATGAAATATATGAGCGATCATTAGCTTGGGGCTGGGCACACACAAGGATCTTAGTGCATTCTGAAATAAACTCAGGGATAAAATGACAAAAATGATTATGCGAGATAAAAATAAATAAAGAAAGATAAAGTCAAGGATTTTTACCTCTTCTTCAGGTACAGTGTTTACTGAATCCATGCTCTGACTGAGTGCCATGGAAGTCTCGGTGCCGAGACCAATACTGTTATGTGCTGTCATCTCTGAAGATGTCTCTCTCATTCAGAACCTTTGACTTGGAACACAAATTATCTTCTTAGTCAACAGAAACGCCTCGTGAGAAGAGGGGATTCCGTAGCGCGTGCTTGGTTGCCGGTGTAGTGCAGTGCCGCTGCTAAGGTGCCTTGGCTGTTGGTGCAGAAATACGTGGAGTGACAGGAGTTTTAATTACCAGTATCTACATGCAGCAACGCCATTCGTTTAACTAAGTGTCTGATCCGAGGGAAAGACCACTTGTATTCACGCGAAAGGAAAATCCGCGACTGCTTCCAAGCCACAGTGTTGTTATTCTAATGCTTGAACTTTGCACACTGGTGTCACGTGACTTACCCGTCATTCATCTCTCTTGACCCCTGCCCCCGACAATCGCCGAAAAGATTCTCGCAGGGGGTGGAAGAGTGAAATGCCGCCTGGAACTACTGCAGCAAATAGACTTTATTAAAACATCATTAAACACATCTACAGCAGCGGTAAAGCAGGAAAAAAAGCAAGCACTATATTTTTTAAGCTGTTGTTGTTGAATTACACTTTAATTCGATTGTACTTTCTTAGCGCCGAAAAATAAACCTGTAAATATTTAATACCGATTCCATCGACGTGTAATTGCAAAAGGTTAATATTTCGGTTGCATGAGTGTTGTTCAATTACACGCAACCCCCATAATTATCCCCGCAGAAGCGAGGAAATTCCTGGGGCCCTGATCGAATGCAAGGGTAGATTATTGCGATTGGGTGTGTTTGGGTGTAATTATTAATTCAAAGTTCGTGGGTTTCTTGGCGATAACCAGCATGACGCGCCCCAAAAACAACTACCACCCCGATTAGAAATTAATGATTCAAGAACCTCATCGGAGGAGAAATGCAATACAAAATTCATCTTTTCACGGAAAGTTGTTATTCGCCTACTGTTACGCGACAATTTTTGGGAAAATCGACGATTAAAACAATATTTTTTGTAGTTTGAAGTGGTGTGCTAATCGTGAAGTCGCGGATAGGTTACATCCATATTCAAGGAAGCTTTTCACGTATAAAGTAAAACTGTTATTGCGTTAATTACTTTGAAAGAATTTTTATGTCATAAGATAAATTTCAGAAATTTATGCGACGCTCTTTACGCCAACTTATACCACTTTTTTTCACATTACCTTTCCAAACCTCTCAAATAAAAATATTTAAAACTTTTATTTCAAATTGTTTAGAACAACACTTTGTCCAGAAGTACTATAAGTCGACGAAATGCCCGAATTGTTTGCACAGCACTGATGTGCTTCGGTTACATGTTTCATTAACATCTTTTTCTGTAGAATGCCAAAATCAACGTGGCTTTTATTAGAGGTTAGCGTGAAAATGATTTTAATCAGAGATCAAAAACCCTGCCGGCAAAAACCCACATTCGTGCTAACAGAAGGAAGGTGTGCCTGTCCGCCTGTTCCTATCGTTGCGTTGCAAACGGTGCCAGCAAATTTACAGTGTATAAACATCCCCACATCTTGACAACAGAAAATTGCAGCTACCCGCTGTACCCTCTATACAAGTGTTGTCAACAATTTTCAAAACTAGCCATGCTTTCTCCGTGGTTAAGCCCAGAGACGCGCCTATTACAGCAGGTAATGACGAGTCTCCTCGTTAGCCTGTCAAAATTTTACACGCTGCCAACAAAGCTCGTCACGAAAGCCATTCACTCGGCCTTCTCTTCCCCGTCGCGATAATCACACCGCGGCGAGCTGGGGCTTGACAGCTCAGAATCGGGGACCCATGGTCCATCATATATATTTTTATTATTATTTGATCCGTCTGATGATTGGCAGGTTTCGTTCTCTGTAGGTTTTGGCAAGTTTGTTAAAATTCGACTGTTTATAATGAAGTAACTAAATAACGCAGGGTAAAAAAAGTTAGGGCCTGTTAGACATTAAAAAGTAAAGTTGGTCTGGTATTTTGCCACCTCAAATGTCAATAAAACATTTGGTAACGCCCATTACTAGGTCAAATTACTCTAGTTTTAAAATAATTTTATCCACAATGTTCGAACTCTGGAGAATAAAACGTTGAATTCGTTCAATTTTAAAACAAGCCCAACAAAGTCATTTTTCATTAAAATGATTTCTACACGTTTGTGTTATTGAAATCCATGTTTAAAAATTAAACGACGGATTTTTTAAAAATATCGCAATGCAATACACTAAGGACTAGGCACATTTCCAAATAGGGATGAATTATACATTCATTTGCAGTTATAGATAATGTTTTCCGTTTTAAGGAACTAAATAAGTTGCAAAAGAAATATCTTTAATGTCTCCTTTCAATATCTATTCCCAATCCTACAGACATTGCCATGGATATTGTAAACTCTCTGGCCACAGAGTGCACTAGTGTGTTACAAAATTATTGTACTGCACTTGAATACGGAATTTACTTATATTTGCTAATAGTTTAATTTTTAAATACCATTTTAGAAGGCCCTCTTATCAGAGGGTAGATATTGTAAATGTTCTAACAAACCTCGGTATGTAAAATAGATTTTGATTTAAATTCACGACAGACATATTAGAAAAAATAAAATAGACTGGTGTCTCGTTTATATATCATCATGCCACATACTATTAGCATAGTATATTGAGCAATATCTTTTATTATATTTCTCTTTTCAGACCTTTACTGTTTACATCAAATCAGGTTGGGTTGCTAAGAAAGAAATAGGCTGACACTCATTTTGTGACTACGTATTCCTGTGACGGCATAAGTTGGAGAGGATATTGGATTGGGTTTGCGCAACGGAGGTATTGTGTTCAAGTATTTCCCTGCATTATTCCGGGATGTCTTTTCCAATCTCACGTTTCTTTTCATCAAAACAATGGATAATATATATGCATTAGGATGTACATCGTTAAAACGCGAGGGTGGGTTTTCTTTTCAGAATGCGACTTTGCATGAATGGAAAGAGCGATTTTCTGAGGAACATGCGATCTAAGAATCCAATTTCATAAAAGACATTAGACTCTAGGGAAGCCACATCAAGTTGCTCTCGTGTTTATCACTGATGAAAAATAAAACACGGATTCTCCTTCCTTCCCTCTCTGTCTTTTCAAACTGTCTCGCTTCCCTCTCCAAGCTGTGAGAAATAGACGACCATTCATTTTCTATACCTTCACGCCATTCACTGGCAAATCAATATATTATTATTAAGAATCATGTCCTGTGAAATTACAGAGGCAGTCTTTCAATAATCACCTAATGGCAGAGGTGATGGAGGAGGATCTTTTAACCCATGTCACTCCCGTATGCCACTGTCATCACTCTTCACACCACTGACCATAGAGTGCCCCACGAAATGAGAGGATTTCATAACACATAATATGACCGACATGACACCTTGGAGGTGGGGGTGGGGGAGGCGGGGGGGGGGGAGTCTTGAGAAGATCGGCTGCACAACCTGGAAAGATACAAAGTTATGCGATTCTGACTGAAATTTCTTTACAAGAGTAATGTTAGGGAAAACGCGATCTCCTAAAAGGTGTGAAAATGTTCGTAAAAGATTATATATGAATGTTTTTATAATTAGTTTTTGTCATTTAGTCGCGAAAAAAAGGGGGGGTTGGACGTGAAGAACTCGTTAAAATGTCAGATTTTGATACAATTCTCGATCTTTCCTGCATCACAAGTAACGTCCAGATATTTCTCCTAGTAAAGACGCTAAAACCCAAACGACCATACGTTGTGAAAAACACTTCTATTTATGTTATAGGAAACCTTTTTACAATTCACGAACCCTTTTACATTAAAAATTTAATAATCTTTAGAAAAATCATCAGGTAGCGAGTTGCATAGGGCACGATCACGTTCTACTTTGGTAGAAGGGGAGTCGTGTCGCAGGTCAGTGCTTGCACTAAGTACAGACCCTGTCAAGTGACATAATAGCCAGCACATTTCACCAATGTGAGAAAGGGGCGTAGCCACTTTTTTTCGAAAGACGATATTTTGCATGATTTCCGACCCCAATTATCTTTGATTCGGGAAAATACTGTTAAATGCACGAAGCGACGCTGTTACTAGTTTAAGAGTGTGGCATCCGTGTTTAATTGTCTTCAGTACACCTCCATCCTCACTCTCTCTAGATGTTAAACAAGTATATACTGCTCCTCGTCAGCTTAATAGATCTTATACGTACACATAAAATTAACCAGAGAAAGCGAGGTGGTCTCCAGCTTGCAAATACATGTTATGCAAGTTATATTTTCCAATATATAAATTTTAATAAAGTCGGAATTAATGTGAAATGTGTGTCTTTTACAAATATAATAAAATATTATGTCAGTAAAACTTGAAAATATCATCTTATCTTTCTGAATAAAACACCTGTTGCTTTGGAGTGTTCAGCAGTTGCAATAACAAGTAAAATAACAAATAATATTCCCTTGAATAACCTTCAGCGAGACTATTATAATGAAAAATGAGAAGGATGAAATTGCATAACCCAACATCTAATGACAAAGGATGTAATTTTCCAGAGGGAGATCATACACATCTTGTCGTCACTTGAGTGTGAAGATGAGACCGACTGGAAGATGACCACAAAGTAAATGAAAACCTATGAAAGTGGTGAAGAGTTCAAATCCTGGCTACTTGAAGACGTGTGTATCGTGTCGCCATTATTAGTGCTCACTGGTGAACTGAACAACATCAGTGAGACGACATTAGCACCTGTACGAAAAACGACAAATGACAACAATGCACTTAGCAACCTGTGCAAAATTATATGTTTGTATACAGCAGATCATTCTTTCATACCATACTTTCCTATCACAATAGCCAAAAACATTTTAGCTTTTCATATGGCATCGCCAGACATCACCTAAATATTTCTGTATCTATATTAAAAGCAAGAAAATGATAAAAAGATATAACCTTAGACAAAAAACTACCATTCTCCTACAGAGGGTATTTGGGATTTTGTTATCATCCAATTAATTTTTAATGGTCCCCTACCTCATGAAGAAATATTTCTCTTATTCAAATACAAAAATAAACATTATATATATTATATATATTTTATATCACAAACTTTCCAATTGATGATTCCCAAAACCTCAGTGTTTTAAACTACCATCATTTTTATGAAAACTTGACAGATTTCCACCACCAAAGTACTCTTTAAATTAATTAATGAAACAGATCGAATGTTTCTAATTTGTAGACCTATTAACAGTAAAAGAAAAACATAGAGTTCAACTGAAGTGCTGTCAATACCTTTATATCATTAATTCATTAATCATGCTTGTAATCTTAACAACCAGGATCCTCTCCCACTTTAATTAATCAGAAATATTAAAGATTGCAGGCTGCTAGACAGAGAGAACATTGAAATCCCAGACAATTAATAATGCATCCTTAATGATATCATTTTGCCAATCAATTCAATATATGCTACATCATTATTCTTGGAGAAGTATCAGTGT